GTAAATCCAGGATTGGAAAGATGGAGCCCCTGAGCAAGCACTTTAAAAGACAAAAACTGTTAACTAAAGGAATATAGCATGCTTACTTTGCAAGGAAATGTTTATTTCACTTGTTAAATATGGCAAAGCTGTGCCAAAATTCATCTAATCACGTGTTGAGCAAAGCAAAAATCCTGTTGTTTTTTCATTTTTCTTGCAAGTGATTGGGTATTCTTTGCAAAATTAAGTGAACCATAACTTTGCAAAGTGTACGTGCCCAATTCATAAAGGAGAATTAGGAGGAAATACACTTCTCCCCATAATTAGAGCTGACGTGTGACCCTGGAACTGTCGCACGTTGGCTCTATTGACCAGGAACTGAGCGATCAGATACTGCCGATTGTTCAGTTCCTGATCATGTCCCTGCAGGGAGCGGTGACTGTTTGTCACCGCTCCCTACAGGGCTTTCACTCTCCATTCCCCCAGTGCTGGCTGGAGGGACGGACAGGGTAGGGGCAGAGCCAGCTGTCAATCAGGCAGCGGGGTGGATCCCGACAATATTGTCAGGATCCATCCTGGCTGCAGTGTGGCTCTGCTCTGTCAGCATATTTTGGGCAGTTGCTCGCTATCTGCTGAGTTTTGGGTCTCAGGAGGACATTGGTATATGTCCTCCTGTGACCCTAAAGAGAACTACAGCAAAAAAAAGGTTGGGCCATAGTTCTCTTAAGTAAATCAGGGTCAAAGTCCGAAAAAGCAGCTCCTGTATTTCTATCCTTACAGGTTTGCGTTAAACTGCTAATGTTGAATATAGTTATACAACCTTTTAGAAAGTAGAAACATCTTAAGATTAAAGGATTGAAGATGTTTGCTAATAAAATACATTATTTAATTTCAGAAACACAAATTAGCAGTAAAATAGATTTTAGAATGTATGACACAGTAAAAGTTCATCATTTATTTTTAATTGATTTGACCAGTGCCCAACTTAGTAACTGAAAGATACTTCTTAGCAACATCATGTATGCATTTCACAAGCTTTAAACATCTGTCTTGAGGCCCGTAAAGGGGAAGCTACAGAGGTTTTTAGTCAGTATCTTTTATATAAACTATACATGTTTATGCAGGCTGCTTACATTTTTAAGCTGGTGTGTATGGTGGGTTGTCTATTGAGAAAACCCGACACTAGTTCTGCTCTTGTTGATTACTAAAGGTTTATATAATCCTGGGTTTAAAGGAGAGGACCGGGCTATCCATAATCAGTGATGTGTATATATATACATTTATGGAAAACACTATACATACCCTAATCAGTGTTGGCTTTTAGCGTAAAATAATTATTTATACTGCTCCTAGGAAGGCACCATAGAATATGATTCTCACTTTGCCACATGGTGGAAATAGCTCACGCTAGACAAAAATAACGCTCATATCTAGATGTGCTCGTCAATATATTCAGATTTGCCACACCAAGACAAACTTTATTTGGACTGGAAATTATAACATGTAGAGCATTTGACTGGGATGCACTGATACAAGTTTTTCGGTTTTGAGTAGGAGTACCAATATTTTTGTTTTGGTAATTGCCAATACCGAATACAGATACCGGAAGTCCCATTATAGAAGTCTGATTAGCCTGGGAGCCATCTACATGCTCCCTCGTCACCAGGAAGGGAGGCAGCATGGATCCGGCTTTCTGGGCAATCAGGAAGCCGTGGGGCGGGTAATGACTCTCTGCCCAGGTTCCTTATTGGCCTTATTGGAGTCATTATACACCACCTGGCTTCCTGATTGGCCAGAAAGACAGCTCCATGCACCATTGTCACCAAGTGACGAGGAAGCATGGAGCCGGCTTTCCAGCCAATCAGGAAGCTGGGCAGCATGTAATGACTCGCCATCCAGCTTCCTTATCCCAGAAGTTCCGGTATCAGGATAGGCATCAGGAACATTTGGACAAAAACTCGCCCAAATATTTGATACCGGTGCATCCCTAGCATTTAACATAGAAAAATATGTGATCATAGATTTAATAACCTCACAGCAGGGTACTGTGCTTAATCATGCTTAGTTTAGAAGATTAGTAAAGTAAATGTTACTGTGAAATATGATGAAGGCCATATGCACCATCTTGATTTAATCTAGGTCAGCCCATGCATATGACACAGCATTGGGAGTCAGACTCCATACCTTGCTAAATTAGAACCATAACGATAACTCACTTGAACACGTCACAACCTTTTTCAAGTTATACAGTGGATCTGAGGAATTTTTCTGGTTAATATTCTGCACGGAGCCATTAATCAATCAGCTTATGTAAACTCAATTATACTCCTTACAAGACACATATGCTCTTGTTGTTTCTTGCATAAAGGTAAGGTGGCTTCCTCTAAAGGTGACAGCGTATACATTGTGCTTCTCAGGTCACAGTTTGGCCTCTGAGCTGGCTGCTGCTCTTGAAGACAGTGAGGGCTGTGAAGATAACCAACAAGCAGCATCAGTCTCTAGTGTGCTCAATAGTTCAACTATATGCTGTTGTTGATATGTGTTTAGACATGAAGATATGCTTTATTGTTCTTTGGTGTTTTTCCAGTAAAACTAAAAAACGTTCAGATGATTTTGACTCTTTAAGTTGTTGCACTGACATCTTCAGTTTTCCTCATGGGGAAAAAACTGGGAACTGCAGCTTCAGATTCCATCTGCAGGACCAACTGGTGATGACATCTGGTATAGTGAATCATCCATTTTTAGAATGCACATTAGTGAGTCTGTCAATGGCAAGAACTTTCCAGTGACAGGATTGCGATACAGGGTAGGCGAAATACTAACTTTAATTCTATCAGGGTTATTCACAAAAGGGTGAAGAGTTAGAAGAAGGCAGGAGAAGTGAACAATCTAGGACTAGAGCGAGCTGCTGCTCACGGTATACTGAGACGCCGCAGGTGAAGCGGATCCCGACAATTATGCCGGGATCCGCCCAGCTGCGTGACTGACAGCTGGCTTTGCCTATCTAAAGGCAGAGCCAGCTGTACCCTCCCCCGTCCGTTCCGCCAGTCGGCGCTGGCGGAGAGGGGAGGGTGGGAATCCAGCTCCTCCCCCTGTCACGGCAGAGAGCCGTGACAGGATCGAGAGGTGAGCGAACGCCGGTATGTGTTCGCTCACCTCCCGATCTACTGAGCCGACCTGTGACAGTCTCATTGTCACAGGTCGGCTAGAACTATGAGGTAAGTGGAAAGCACTCACCTTATAGTTCTCCTTTAAAGAAAAACTCCAGCTTTTAGAAAAATTAATGCTTGCAGTGGGGCTACCCACTCACTGTAAGGATTTTTACTAGGGGTGAAAAGTGAAGACAAATGCTCACCTGATCCTCGGTCCTGCAGCAGTGACCACTCACCTCCCTCCCCCTCCACACTGGATGTAGTATGTCCCTTGGCGTCCTCATGTCCAATAAAGGTGACAGAACTGCATTAGGAGTGATAATGTCAGCAGGGCTTAGACCTCCGGGACCCAGGGGAGAAGAGGCTGTGGGGACCAGTCTAGCAGGCAGGTGGGACAGAGGATTGGGTGAGTATTCTTTTTTGGAGCTCCTGGAGAAAAACTAGTGGCCAACCCCTGCAGTGTGGGGGTAGGCCTCCTGCAAAGGTTCATTTTTCTAAAACCTGTAATTCTTCTTTAATCCCTTTTAACTATATATAAAAAGGTTTTTACATTTTCCCCACATCTCAGTGCTTTTCATTTCAGCAATTTTTATTACAGGGATATTTCATTTTCTAATGTGTTGTCACCAGTTAAGACATGAGGAAAAAGAACCTTTTGGCATGTTTTTTTGCTACTCTAAAGCAAGCATAATCCATTATCTTCAAAGGATGTACACATGTTAGTTTTTGGCACTGCTTCTCTTATTTTACATGTACAGTGGTTTTTATTTTTTTTAAGCTCTTTTACTAATATTAAAAACTGGAATGTCTCCCTGTAAAGCTGCCAGTCATATAGGCACTGGCATGCAGGTCTCTCACTATGCTGATACTAGCCTGTATGCCCTTTAGTGCTATTTGGAGGCTTCTTAATAAATAAAATAAATGCAGAGACATAAGGCTTGTTCACACCAAATGCAGACCAGATCTGTAAGAGTTTCTGCACACGCAGTGCAGTCTGTTTTTGTGCGTTTTTTGCCGCGTTCTGGGTCACTTTTGTAAAAAAAAAAAGAGCGTTCCAGAGCAGGAAAAAAAAGGCTTGCTGCAGTTTTTCTACATGCTCTAGAACTGAAGGCTGCAGTGTGACTAGAGCCCAAAATACCATTGGAATACATTGGAAGCAGTTTTGATCCGGTCTGTAACTGCTCTGCTGTGCTCCTGGAACGCGTATGTGTGAAGTAGCTCTTAGGATTCTCTAGGATGTCTTCCCATATCTTCCTTAAACCAATTACAATGAAAGAAGCGCTACAACCAAATGAAAATAAATAAAATGATGTGGCTGGATTTGGAGAAAATGGGGTGGAGGAGACGGTTAGGGTTTGTCCGTGGTGTACAGTAGTACCTCGTAGTGACAAAAAATTGCTTCCGGGATGTTGTAGGGTGGTCCGAGTTAGCCGAGAAAACAAAATGAAATATGTGGATGAAACTTGAGCAATGTGTAAATCAAAGTGTGACCCTGTAGAGACTCGCCATGAGGTTGGGAGTGACGTGATGTCATCGGCGAGGGATGTGTTTCATCGGTTCCAGTGCTGATGGGGAAATGGACTGGTTCCTCGGTTGGATGTGTGGATCTGATGGTAGCTGATTAGGAAGGAGTCCTCTTAGTGTCCGTGGAGCTGAAAAAGGTGCTGGTGGTTGAGAAGTTAATTGTTGTTATTCCAATGGTCTCTCCGCGTGCAGATGCTAATGACATGCTTACTGTTTGTTAACAAGCAAAGGGTGTAGTGCAACATTTGCTTACAACTATTGTCATAGTAAGTGTTTTTAATTCAGCTAGATTTTAAATAGGACTGTTTCTTTTATTGTAACTTAACATTGCCTTTTTTGTTTCAGCCCCTGTCATACCACCAGAAATCCTTACTTTGGAGAAGAGAAAGGGTTTGATTTCCACTTTGTCACCCCAGAGATATTCGAGAATATGACATGCTCCGTAAGAGAATGGCTAGTTCTGTATTTTAAACAGGGTTTATTTGTCTTCTAATAGTCTTGTTTAATAGCATGATAGATCCCTTAATACTAGCACACCTTTACATGTAATGAAAAAATGTGTTTGGTTCTCCCAGAACAGTAGGTAATATCTGTGCTGGATCGTACCGTTACCTTCACATGTATCCTCTTTACATTTCCAAGAAAGTACTACTGCTGTGCTTTTATAGTGTACTAAGAAGCCCAGGTCATGGGGCCACCCATGTATTAAATGTTTGTTTTTATTAACATCATTATTTTTATTCTACAAATAAAGTAATGCATTAGTTTAAACTGTATGGACTTAACATTGAGTTCATATTACCTCCAAACCATTACAGCTTTTTTTTTTTTAACATAAAGGGTTATTAAACTCTCAGCAGTTTTTGCATATATCTACTGCTAGCAAGCAGTAGATATACGCAAAAACATTTAAAGAAAAAAAACTTTTAAAAAGGGTTTAAACTTACCTGTGTCTTCGCCGCGCGCTTCCGTCCGAACATCTGAAGATTGTCAGGCGGCCGCAAAGGATCTTGGGGCGAGCGCATGCGCAGTTCAGATCTTTGGCCGGGAGATGAGGAGAGACGCAAGGTAAGTAAATGCAGCAGCGTGCACCCGCACAGGCTCCGTGGGACAGGAAGTGCCAGCAAGCACAGAGGAGTCAGCGCTGGATCGGGGACCAGCACCAGCGCTGGAGGGGCAGATGAAAACTACAGGAAAGAAGAAGATAATCGGATCAAGAGACATCATTTAAGGTAAGTGCTTTCATTAACATTGTGGGGGGGGGGATATATCCTTTTAATGTCACTTTAAGTACAGTGAATTGATGTTACAATGTGAACTATCAGTAGAGTATCAAGTAAAACGTATACTTAGTACTTTTATAGCTGATATCCTAATCTATATTCAGAAATAATAAGTGACACTTTAATCTTATGTAGTAATGTGTTTATTATGTAATAAGTGCACAACACTAGACAGTGTACTCAAGCAATAAGTCTAATCATAAAATTGAACACACTTTTTGATAAGACCAACTTTTTCGCCTGTTCTCATAAAGTAGATGTAAACATCAACTGACCAGTTTTAACTTGCACTAGCAGCGTATATATCACAAACAATTGCCATGTATTTTTTTTATACATTACTCTTCACACCTTTTTATCATCCTCTTTTGCATCCTGGTTCTAGAAATTTCGACCAACCTCTTTCCGCCACTTCCTGTCTACATGCATGTACTGGCAGCACATCATTACTCTTGACTGGTATACTGATAGTTTCACATTACCTGCATAATGTGTGTCATCATGGCCACTTGTAGTCTCCACCAGGAACATGTGTCACAGGGTGAAAATGCAGTAGTACAGTTAGGAGACCGTTATTACCACGGAACAGAGTGTGCTAAATGACCTTTTTGGTAAGATCACCAGCTGTTATTTTACCAACATCTGCAGCTTTAAATTGATTGAAATATCTCTGTGATCCCAGATGATGATCACTGTCATTTTAGAGCAATAATCTGATCGGCTATCAATGTGTAGCACAGGTCGCCACCCTGTCAGAGATCTCACTGCTGAAGTCCCTAAAAAGATATAGGCCAGGTGACTGAACATTCCAACATTTAACAATGAAGTATGTCATTTGGGTGAAGCTTTAATAGTGTAAAAATGAGTAACTAACATAAATACTTCATTTTACTTGCCAATACATATTACCTGTATGAGTTTTACATCCCTAATGTTAAATGTGTTTTGCCTTTTTCTAGGGTCTGTTTCTCCTGACTTTGAAATACAGTGGTCACTACTATGGTCTGAGCATAGAGGCCGTAGAATCTGTTGCCAGAGAAGGTCTTGCTTGTTGCACCCACATGGAAATAGAGGTGTTTCTTATTATGTATAAATGCTGTTAATTCTGCAAAGGGTGTCTCTGTGTTTCTTTGTGGGCAGATTAGTCAAATGCGTTCTATTTAGTTGCTCAGGATTATAGTGGTTTAATAATATATATTGGAAATAAGATTTTAAAAAAGCTATGGACCTAAACAGTTGCAGGATATTACCTCTTCCTTTTTTTTTAACATGCAAATTAGAGTAAGAGCCATGTCCTCTACCTAAAGCAGGAGCACACTATGCCAATAAATCGCTTTTGTGTCGTGACAATTGAAACTGTGTTTTACAGAAGCAAATACATTTAGGTTGTAAAGCATCAAACAAATCGTTCCCGGTTGAATTCTAGCTCTCATGCCCATCCACTATGACTGGGTGTTGGCTCAATTCATCTTGCTGACAGATGAGTATCAACAATATGAAGGCTTTACTAAACAACCACTCTGTGGAAAACATCTTCGCTTATTTAATGACACAAGTTACAGCTATTATATATTTAAAGCAAAACTCTGGGCTAATTGGTACTTCTTTTCAGTGCATAAAGCAAGTGCTAAAATTATAAAATGTTAAATGGTAGTATAAGTACCTTTTTTACTTCTGTTCTGTATCAACCTCCCCTGGCTCTTTGCAGCACCACTGTAGTTCAAACCAAGCAGAGATGTGGTAGATTTTTAAGAAACAGTCAATGGTACTGTAACTTAAAGGAGAACTATGAGGTGAGTGCTTTTCACTCAGCCTCATAATCTGAGCCGACCTGTGACAATGAGACTGTCACAGGTCGGCTCAGTAGATCGGGAAGTGAGCGAACACATACCGGCGCTCGCTCACTTCTCGATCCTGTCACTGGAGAGAGCTGTGACAGGGGAGTGACTGGATTCTCCCCTCCCCTGTCCGATCCTCCAGCGTTGACTGGCGGAACGGACGGGGGAGGGGACGGGTACAGCTGGCTCTGCCTCTAGATAGGCAGAGCCAGCTGTCACTAACGCAGCTGGGCGGATCCAGACATAATTGTCTGGATCCGTTTCAGCTGCGGCGTCTCAGTATACCGTGAGCTGCAGCTTGCGGTATACTGAGCTTTGGGTAACTGGAGGACGCTAGTTTTGTGACCTCCCGTTACCCTTTGGAGAACTATGGGGAAAAGGCCTAACCCCATAGTTCTCCTTTAATGTCATAAAGCACCTACAGTTACTTGCATACATGCCAGTGATTGAGGAAAGAGCGCACAAACTCAAAGGACCCAAGATAGTTTAGTTTGAGTAGGAGGAGTGAAATAAATAATACTATATACCAGTGGCCCCTACAGTGAAGTGGTGATTTTAATGTAACCTGCCTCGGTTTTTTCCAAAAGTTAGAGGGTGAGACCAGCAAGTATTGTTATGTGGCTTTTACGATGTGATGTGATCTGTGTCCTCCCGTATAGACATTAACCTAAAATTCCAGCACTTAAGGATCCCTCAATACAGGGAATTTCGCCTTTACTCCACATATCTAGCCATTCACTGGGCTTTCCCTGCTGCCTGGCATTTTGCTTTAAAACTGAAGAGAAGTATGAAACTGATTTGTTTTGATATTTTATGATCTAGGGTGTTAGAAGTTTGAAGAATTCCTACTTTAAACCACGCTACATCTTGCTCCTGCCATTAAACAAGGAGAAGTATGAAGGCTGGCTGAGAAGGAAGGGCTTGTTCAGTAGAGCCGAGATAGATGTTGCTGTGTCTAGAGTGGATATGTATGTCAAGATACAACAAGACTGCCCAGGCTACTTTGATGCTGTCATCAATACAGGTAATAATAATATTTTTTTTACACTTGAATACATACATCTTGCAATGTGTAGAATGAGTTCATATGTAAATATTTTGAATGACCAAATCTATGGCACTGGTCTTGAGCCTGTACTGATCTGTGCAAATCAATGCAGCTCAACTGATGGAGCTCTTATTCAATGAATTGGAAGGGTGCCTGCATACCTTTTGGCCATATAATGTATTTGTGTTGATTAGTAACTAAACTAAAATTTGGTATGAAAGATATTTATTGACTTTTCTTATTTGCACAGATGATTTAGATGAAGCCTACGGTCAATTAAGATTGCTTGTTAAAGAGTACCTAGGCCTGACTGAGCCAGGACAATCTAGTCAGAGCTTAACCAGAGCTAAATCCGGAACCGGTAATTATATTTTTATACCTCATACCAATACAACAATATTTTACATTGTAATTCATATTTTGCTGTATAATAGCAGTTAGGGGTAAATTGTTATTTGGCTGTTACAAGCATCCCCAATACTTCTGTGATGACCTCTTAAAAAGCCATCATAGTCTTTTCTATCTTTTGTTGAATAAATATATAAAATGCAACTCTGAGTCAGCCGACTCATTGAAAACAATTCCCGCAACTGTCTGGCAGGCATCTTATCTCAACAGTTGCTGAGGGAGATTTAAGGTTTTTCCATACTGTCCACACCTGTTGTGCGCTCGCCACTCCCATTGTTTTTATCTTGAGGGAGAGAAAGTAACTGCATAGAGCCACTGAGAGCTCTCATATCTCTATATGTAATACAATAATGCAAATGTGGAAAAGCAAGCTTGTGAAAATGTGAACGTCTTATAAAAATGTATTTAGTTTAAACCGTATTTTTAGCCAAATGTTTTTTTGTTTTTAGTTTTGGATATGGTAGAAAAGTATTCAAATCAATGTCAGGTTTTTATTGCTGTAACTATGTTGCTGTGGAGCTTCACCTTCTCTTTTTACAAATTTTACTATTGGCACCAGAACAGGAGATGGGGGTTTATCTTTTAAAAGGGAAAACTGTCTAAAAGGGGAAATTCAATGGTTCTCTTTTGTACATCATCATTATTATTATTATACAGGATTTATATAACACCAACAGTTTGCGCAGCTCTTTACAATATAAGGAAAACATTACAATCACAATACAATTCAAGACAATATGGTAAGGAGGGCCCTGCCCGTGAGGGCTTACAATCTCTGTAAGGGAGGAGGGAAGTGATACATGAGGAGGTAGCTGTGTGGGGATGAATTGTTTGAGAACGTGATGGTTAAGTGGTTAGTTTGAGGTGGGATAGGCTTCCCTGAAGAGATGAGTCTTACGGGATCGCCTAAAGGCAGTCAGAGTAGGAGATAGATGGACAGGTTGGATTTCCAGAGGATGGGAGTGACTCGAGAGAAGTCTTGGAGGCGAGCATGCGAAGAGTTGACGAGGGAGCTGGTAAGCAGGAGGTCTTTGGAAGAGCAGAGGGGACTGTTAGGGTAATACATTGAGTCAAGGTTGGAGATATAGCCAGGGGCAGAGTAGTGGATGGCTTTGTAAGTGGTTGTTAATATTTTAAATTTTAGCCTTTGGGCGTTTGGAAGCCAGTGGAGGGATTTGCAGAGCGGGGTTGCCGACACTGTGCGGTTGGTTAGATGGATGAACCTAACAGCAGCATTCATGATAGACTGAAGGGGGGATAGCCTGTGTAGAGGTAGGCCAATGAGGAGGGAGTTATAATAGTCAAGACAAGAGATAAGGAGTGGATGAGTAGCTTTGCAGTTTCATTGGTGAGGAAGGGTTCTCTTTTGTACATACTATTTAAAGGAGAACTATGAGGTGAGTGCGTTCCACTCACCTCATAGTTCTAGGCGACCTGTGACAATGAGACTGTCACAGGTCGGCTCAGTAGATCGGGAAGTGAGCGAACACATACCGGCGTTCGCTCACTTCTCGATCCTGTCACAGCTCTTTGCCATGACAGGGGAGTGGCTGGATTCCCCCCTCCCCGCTCCTGCAGCGCTGACTGGCGGAACAGACGGGGGAGGGGGCGGGTACAGCTGGCTCTGCCTCTAGATAGGCGGAGCCAGCTGTCACTCACGCAGCTGGGCGGATCCAGACATAATTGTCGGTATGCACTCCAGCTGCGGCGTCTCAGTATACCGTGAGCTGTAGCTCACGGTATACTGAGCTTAGGGTGACGGGGGGACGCTAGTTTGTGTCCTCCCGTTACCCTAAGGAGAACTATGGGGAAAAGCCCTAACCCCATAGTTCTCCTTTAAGGCAAACCCTGCTCTTTTAAAGTAAGACATATATATATATATACTAGTCATCTTAAAGCATTGACCTAATATTGTCTCCTACATTTAGATTCTGGGAAACCTTTCACTGAATCCTCACCTAATGAAGCTACTAAAGAGTCTCAGAACTACAACAATGATTTTCAGGATTCCACTGCAAGAAATTATTCTGCTAGAATCTCAGCCAAGGTTTCCCCACAAAAAACACCTGCAGTAAGTCACTCTTATAGTCATGATCACACGGTATATCATTTGTCATATGTTTGACAGTGATTATTGATTTCAGGAGGAAGCCTCTGTTCAGAGACGTCAGCAAGCAACAAGACAGGCTTTAGCAGGAAAGACCCCCGGAACATACACCCAGCTGTTTCAGAGGTAAGATTTAATACTCTTAAAATAGAACCTTGCAGTGATGCCCATACATAAGTAACATAATGCTAACACTGGGCCTGATCTGACAAATAATGTGTTTATCTGATATTATATATTTGTAGAGGTCCACTAACTGCCCCAGCAACATTGGGCACCCACCGCCGCCTTCTAGACCCTGCATCATGCTCATCAATGAAGCCAAGTGGTAGTAATGTAACTGCAGATCGTAGTTTCCCACCAGTCAGCCCTGAAACCAGGTAAATCATGAAGAGACTGATCATGAAATGTTGGTTTTGAGTGGGGTTGGCATTTTATAGCATATTATATGTCGGAAACCTATTGATCTAATATGAATTCTATAATATGAGCTTAATTTTGACATGAAATATAGGCACTTTGTACAAAGGTTACATACTTAAATACCATAGTTCAGATCCCAGGAAGGGACAGTATGTGTGGTTTTTATACCTGCACACTCACTTCCTGGGTCTTTGCAGAGTGTCAGCCGGACTTGTGGCTTTGCCTCTTACCCCCTGACAACCACATGTGTCCTCAGCAACATGGCAGCATACCGTATATTTGATGAAAAAGTATCAGCTTCGCAAGTCCATGACATTTTGCTAAAGAATGCATTCCCCCTTCCTGAGCAGAGGGTCAAAATAAACTTCACGCAATAACCAAAATATTATTCCCAAAACAAAATGCTGAGTTAGTTACGTGGTTGATATGGCAACAACTATTGCCAACCATAACAGGTTATTGAACCTTTAATTATAATAAACAATAACAGTTGATGATGTTACTTGTCAAAGCATAGCAATGCGTTTTTTGAGAGGTAAATGCTACTGGTTTCTACTATAACATGTTCAGTAGTACTTGGTGCCTCACAACGGAACAAAGCATCATCCTTAATCAATTATAACATTGAATAAATCAAAACAAAATCGGGAAGATCATCAAGTCTAAAGGTGCATGCTTAACTTGCACTAGCTAGCAAATCTATGCAAATAGTCTAACATGTACACCATGGAAGATCACCGTAAATCTTTATTAATGATTACCCTCAATAAACACATACTTTGCAAAGGTTGGAATGTAGAGCCAGGTACATAGTCAAGTTGTGTAAGTACTTTTAACAGATCTTCTGTTATTTAAGTAACATCTGGGGCCAATCTGACAATGGCATGTGTTATGTCCATCATAACCTCACAATTCACTAAAAAAAGACTCCAGACCAAATTCTTGTAGTATTCTTTTTTTTTTTTTAACACGATAACTTGTTAAAGCCGCTAACATTGGAGCTGCAGAATGTCATGTGGAAAATATTGATGGTTTTGGATTAGTCATCTCATCTGTAGGAAGCCATCAACTCTAAAGTGCTGCTGATGGGATGTGAGAGTCTTTATTAGCCCACAGTTTATACAGTTTCCTGTGCCACTTGCCCTGGATATATGTTATGTATAACTATGTACAGTTAAGGGTAAATACAATGGCTATATAAAAAATGTATCTTCTTTTTCTATTCCCGCAGTTCCAGGGACTCCAGGGCTAGTTCTGGCTTGTCCTTACTGTCTTCTGCTGGTGCGTTTTCTGTTAGAAGATCATCTTCCCAGCCAACTCCTGTCATCAACATTCAGTCCCCTCCAGAAGAAAGAGTAGAACCACTTGATCTCTCAGGTATTAGGCAAGAGCTAGACAGTTTTTCAGGTTTGTAAAGTTTCATTTCTTATTTTATTAGTGGGTTGCCAGAGTAGCCATATATCCCACATGAATTTCTTACTTTTCTTTTATGTTACCTTTTTCCACCCACCTCCTATAAATATAAACATTAGTTTCTTAGACCATTGCCTAGCAGAAGCTGCATTTTTGTACAATGTTAGTAACCAGTTCAACTATCAAAATGGATAGTGTATTGGTTAAGTACATTTAAATGTAAAATGGAATACATCTTATGTTCTTAAATTAAAGGCAAAATACAACAAATTGAAACATATAATTTCTATTAAAAAAAAAAAAAATATATATTATATATATATATAATATTTTTTTAGAAGCTCAATTACCACTAAATACTATCACTTTAAACGTCTCCTTTTCTGTTGGTGTCAGCCTAAATCTGATGTAAATTGGGATTGAGTGGAACAGCTGCACAAATATTTCAGGAATTTATTGAATGTAAGATGGATTAGTAAACTTTTTTTTCTGACACTTCTCTATTACAAGATTCCAATGGCTTCTTGAAAATGACAGTGGTGTCAGACAAGATACTCATATTAATGTATGAAGTTTGCAGTGTAGGCTGTGTGATTCTTTTTTTTTTTCTTTAAGTTTTGCAAATACAATCGTAAGCACTATTTTAAAATGTTTTAGGCATTTCCTTTTCACTACATTGCTGATCATATAATATGATAAACGTCCTGAAAAGACATCCACCAGTACACCAGAACTGCGTTGGCTTCTGATGGTAATAAACTTGCTTGTGCTCCAACTTGCAGAAATTAGCCCAGTACACTGGCATTCTCCAAAGCCAAATCAGCTGACTTTTGCTTCATCAAGGAACTCTCTTCAGTACAAAGCACTCAACTAAAGTAAAGCTCTTAAACTGCATACATTATTATGCTAGCCTGCTTCTGGAAAATAGCAGATATAAACAAGTTTGAACACAGTCATGCTTATTCTGTTGGGAAAATTTCAAACTGTAGCATACCAAAACAGCCAACTGCCTTTCAATAATGTATAAAGCTGGCCATACACCTATAGATGATCTGCAGATTTTCTGTGGTCAGATGGAAAAAATGCAACAGATTCCTCCATCTACTCTAAACTGTGTGGATGGAGGAATCTCCCACTGGGCCAAGCTTCAGTATCTTGCTAGTCGGCCCCGCTGGCTCTCAAAATACCTGAACACTGCCTGCACCAATCAGATTGTTCAGGTATTTTAAGAGCCAGCGGGGCCAACTAGCAAGATACTGAAGCTTGGCCCAGTGGGAGATTCCTCCATCCACACAGTTTAGAGTAGATGGAGGAATCTGTTGCATTTTTTCCATCTGACCACAGAAAATCTGCAGATAATCTATAGGTGTATGGGCAGAACTTTTTTGGCTATTTTAGTATCTGTCCCACTTGAGAGATTTCCCTTCACTTTCCATCTTAGACATTTGTCACTGGAACTTTGTCCCAATTGGATGATTTGCGCTCCCCTCTTGCTATGGATTTCCCTTCACTTTGTCTTAATCACGATGGTCCACAAAGAGGGCTGCATTCTCCAGCTGGGGCATTTAAACATGAATCAAAGCTTGACAGAAGGTTTAACCCCTGACCACGCTATTCAAAGATAGTTTTGTTTGTACTAGTCTGAGTAAGCTAAACTGAAATCTGAATGGTCATCTACACGTCATGCAACATCATTTATCTGAGCAAGCCAAAATGTGTGGGGTTTATCTTCTACCTGCTTGTTTATGCCTTCTATATATTACAGGTGATCAGAAGAGCTTTGGCACCACTCCAGACACACCACGTCTACCATCATCTAACCGCTCTGATGTCAGAACATTAAAGTCCAAATCATGCTCATCGCTGCCTTCTGCTCATTCAAGCCGCCCGGGGTCTAATACCAAACCCATTCTACCACCTATTCCATCAGGACACAAGAAGTCTCCAATTTAATTTAGCCAGCCTTTCAGCACTACGTTTAACTTCGCTTCTTAATAAATCATCAAGAGATGATGCAAGCCTCTTGTTTTTTCTCTTTTTTGCTTTGAATTAAACATTATTTATAAGTACAGCTAAATTAGTAAATCTTACAGCTATTCAAAATTCTATATCCAAAATGTTGTTTTTTTTAATTAATTTATAGAGGCTAATTTACTATAGGAGTTGATGATCTTCAATAAACTAAGATGTGTTCACTTTGACTGCCCAAAGCGCAGATGAAATAAACAGGAAATTTGCTTTTCACATGATTGGATAAATAAAGTGAATCTTCACTCAATTTGAGTGAAATTCTCAACTCCTTTAGTAAATCAGCCTCATAGCGCGAACAGAAGCCTTTTCACTGTTAAAAAACTCTGCATGCTACTGATAGTCTTCCAAAAATGTTTTGGTAAAATGCAAAGGGTTAATTATTCAATAAATCTTCTACTTACCCCCAGATCTCTGTATTTATGGTTTGCTGGCGACGTACACTGTACGTCGTCAGTCACGAAGGGGTTAATATGGCCTCTGTGGCAAGACTATTCTGTGTAAACAAATGGTAGTCAACATATTCCCTTCTATTTCATAGTAAAAGATACCACTAGATTGTCATCAGTGCGGAGGCAGGAATACCTTATAGTGTTAATCATCCCTCTACGCCACAGACAAAACTGTAGTTTGATTTTGTTGTTCTACACCTGTATGGAGAGGAAATAGTAGCTTCCTGGCTGTCATGGGAATACTATAGTGACTTCTGTACTTTGTGTCCTGACCTGGAGCAAGTATGCAGCTCGTGTTAGGGGTTCATTTGCTGCCTGCTTCTTCCTGGTCGGTGACTCGCAGTATTGTAACCTACAAAATGTAGCTGAAGCATTGGTAAAATACCCAAAAAGCTTAACTAGTTTGCAGTGTGGTTTTTATGTGCCATAACTAGGGATGGATAGAGGAACCCTCCGCACACCTCACAGCAGTCCTGGCCTATACAAGAAATGGTGCTCGCAGTGATGACCACGGATGGCGCCGTGCAGACTCAGAGTAGAGACAAAGATCACCAGCACTCAGCAATAACCTTCAATATGTCCATTTATGTGGACAAAGCGTCACAGTAACAAAAGCCAATGTTCCGGGGCCACACAGGGTCCCTTCCTCAGGGCGAAAAATATGTGACTAGAGATGTCATATATTTTTAAAGGGCAAATCCACCCAAAACTGCATTAAATATTTTGGCATATGACACAAAAACAGTTATTTAGTTTTCCTCTATCATCATGTGTACAACAACATTAGATTTGCTACAATACTGTCTACGCCATAAAGCAGGTAGATCTCCTAAAGCTAGACCTGTGACCCAGTCGCAAACCATTACGGTAATATTTTTGTAAAATATCTCTGCATCTGCTACACTACACACTGTGCAACAACGATATCTACAATGTCCCCATAACAGAAACCCATTGGGGGGAATTTATCAGAAACGGAGCAGACAAAATCTGGAGCAGATGTGCATGGCGACCAATCAGCTTCTCTCTTCAGTTTGTTCAGTTAAGGTTTGAAAATGAAAGAGAGAAGCTGATTGGTTGCCATGCACAGCTGCTGCTCCAAATTCTGTCTGCTCCAGTTTTGATCCCCTTCATTGGGCAAATCTTCCTAAAGTCTTGGAGCCATCTCTAAACGTTGGTGTTACAATAATGTAGTTAACCCGCTGTGTAGGTTGGGGGGCTGGTCATTTATATTTAAGCTGATCGTGGCCGAGTGTAAAAAGGGTTTTTGTTTTTTGTAATTGCAGATGCATTAATAAATATGTATACACCAATAAATCTACAAAAATTGTGCTCACGATACTAATGAACTTTCTCAAAACTTCCAAATTCTTATGCGCAATAAATACACAACTAAGGGATGGTTTATAAATCAAAACACCGAAAACAGCAATATGTATGTAATAGTATAAGGATAATAAGAACAGAAAAGTCATGATGACATGTAGGGATGTCCTGATACTGGGCATTTTGCCAAGTACTTGTCGGCCACCTAAATTAGGACCCCACCTGGAGCGCCGCCCACCGGAGCAGCAGTGACGCGACGCTCCTCTCCAGCTCAGCGCCGACGATGTCGCGAGGCAACAGTGAGTAAGACTGGGCCTGGGCTTTGTTCTTGTTCACACAAAAAACTATCTACTGCTGCAGTGGATTCTATATGTACTGTATATGTGTTACATATAGAATGCACTGCAGCAGTAGATTTACAATTCTGCACTGCTAATCTGAAGGGGTTAAATGATCCATAGTATGTAATAGTACATGTAGTTGCACTGTGGATCGTTTAACCCCTTCACATTATCAGAGGATAATGGTAAATCTATTGCTGCAGTGCATTCTATATGTGCTGTATATGTACTATGGATCATTTAACCCCTTCAGATTAGCAGTGCAGAATTGTAAATCTACTGCTGCAGTGGATTCTATATGTACTGTATATGTGTTACATATAGAATGCACTGCAGCAGTAGATTTACAATTCTGCACTGCTAATCTGAAGGGGTTAAATGATCCATAGTACATATACAGGACATATAGAATGCACTGCAGCAGTAGATTTACAATTCTGCACTGCTAATCTGAAGGGGTTAAATGATCCATAGTACATATACAGGACATATAGAATGCACTGCAGCAATAGATTTACCATTATCCTCTGATAATGTGAAGGGGTTAAACGATCCACAGTGCAACTACATGTACTATTACATACTATGGATCATTTAAAGTCACCTGGCCCTTTAATAAAAAAAAAAGTATCGGTAATTGGTATCGGCAAGTTCATGAGGGGATGTACTTGCTCCTGAAAAAGTGGTCAGGGGTGTTATATTTCCTTCAAAGCCCACTGTGTAACTCTGCTTGCAGCTGGGAAGGATGCAGGACAGGGCTCAGTGCCAGAATTCAATGGGAATTCAACCTGCCCACAAACCGCATGATTTGTGACATGCCCAACTCAACTTTGGCAATGCTGCAGCGGCTGCACACGCAGCAGAGGGCCATCAACGAGTACCTGTGAGAGTATGGCACAAGTACAGGCTCAGGGACCTTGGGTTTTTTTTTTTCCCCCACGCCAGTGGCTGCTGATAAGGGGTGCATGCACTGTACTGTCACCATTTGAGGAGACAACAAGGATGGTGAGCCGTGACACGATCCCACTTGTGTTCCTGCTGGAGTTATAATTCTGCGTGGAATTATGGATAGGGCACTTGAGGCAGTACAGCAGGAGGAAGAGGAGGACTTCCTTTCCTCTCAAGGCCTCCTTTATGCAGAAACCAATCCTGTGGGGCCGCAGAACACACAAGAGGAGGATTATGGCAGCCGTGGGGGGGCATTGAAGCAGAGGATGACATACGGCAGTCCTCAAGGGATGGTTTTCAGTCCCCAGAAACCCAAATAGTACGTGGCTGGGAGGAGGTAGTTCATGATAGTGTCATCCTCCGTGACCCTGAAGACTCCGATTCTCATGCCTCCTCTAACTTATGGTGCATGGCCTCCCTTATTCTGCAAAGCCTGAGAAACGACCCGAGGATTTGTGGTATCAAGGTTATTTTGTCACCATTTGAGGCAGCAACAAGGATGGTGAGCCTGGACAATGCATGCATCAGTGACACTATCCCTCTTGTGTTGCTGCTGGAGCGCACACTGCGGAGAATTATGGATAGTGCACTTGAGGCAAAACAGCGGGAGGAAGAGGAGGACTTCCTTTCCTCTCAAGGCCCCCTTTACGCAGAAACCATTCTTGCGGGTCCGCAGATCACACAAGAGGAGGAGGAAGAGGAGGATTATGTCAGCCGTGGGGGCATTGAAGCAGAGAATGACATAAGGATGTCTTCAAGGGAGGGTTTTCTGTTTTCAGAAACCCAAGGAGTAGTACGTGGCTGGGAGGAGGCAGTGCACGATAGTGTCATCCTCAGTGACCAAGAAGACTCTGAATCTCATGCCTCTTAAAACTTATGGTGCATGGGCTCCCTTATCCTGCAAAGCCTGAGAAAGGGCCCCAGAATTGGTGGTATCAAGGAGAGGGATCATTACTGGTTGGCAACCCTTCTTGATCCACGTTACAAGTGTGAAGTTGCAGAGCTCATCCTGCCCTCAAAGGGAGCACAGAATTAAACAATTTGAGGACGCGTTGAAAAGAAACTTGTGTAACACCTTTCCAGACACTGGTAGGTTACCATGTCATGAAAGAGGTGCTTCTGAGGCTTTGGTTGGTCAAAGAAAGAGTGGTGGAAAAGGGGGCCGTCTGACTGATGCCTTTAAAAAATGTTTTAGTCCTCGGCGCCCAGAGCTGTTTGTTTTAGATACCGATTGGCAGCTTCTGCATCATATGGTGCAGGATTACCTAGGGGCAAGGTTTCGCGCGCGCGCAATTTTAAGGCTTGACATGTTTGGTGACTTTTTACCTGACGTGACCCCGTCTTTTATATTTTACCAAAAAATTGGGTAATAATAAACATTTTATCATTTAATATAGGGGAAACTTTGTTTTTTTTCCCTGTAATTTTTCCTTAATATAGTAAAAAATAAAACCCCAGTGGTGAATAAATACCACCAAAAGAAAGCTCTATCTGTCCCTAAAAAATGGTATAAAATTAATTTCAGTACAGCGTTGCATGACAGAATAAATGTCAGTCAAAGTACTGCAGCGCTGAAAAATGGCCTGTATGGGAAGGGGGTTTAACACCGCGGACTTCAACTGGTTAAGCAATGTTTAAATCACTGCTCCTTTAAAAACAGTATTTTTTTTTTTTTAGGGCAGTGCCCGAATCCCCATACCCTTTTTATGGCCAATAACTTGCATATAAGCCTTCAAAAAGGGGACATTTGATTTCCCGTGTTTTGGTCCCATAGATTTGCATTGAGTTCAAGTTCAAACTTTTTCCATGTTCGAATTGAAACCAAACTCGAGTGTGTTCAGCCCATCACTAATGACATGTACTGTACTT